TGATTGAATACATCAAAATCTAAAAATCAATAATCTAAGCACTCATAGAAAACAAATACATACACATAAAAAGAAAAAGCTAAATACAAAATTAGGAAAATATAATGATGACAAATAGCACAAAAATAAATGAATCTAAAAACAGGAAACCGATAAAGAAAACTCATGAAACCAAAACCTGGTTCTTTGAAAATATCATTAAAATCAACAAGCCTCTACCTAGGTTAACACCAAAGACAGAAGACACAAATTATTAACATCAGAAATGAAAGAGTAGGTATTACTACAGACTCCATGGATGTAAAAACCAATAACCAAACCAGGTACACAATTGCAATCCCAGCATTTGGGGACAAAGAGAAACACTATATATAGGTTTGATGTTAGCCTGGTCTACATGTGAATTTCAGGTCAGCAACCTGGAGTCTCTATCTCCAAGGGGAGAGGACACAGATGCAAAGAGGAAGGGAAGGAGGGGGGTGAATACACACACACACACACACACACACACACACACACACACACACACACACTGAGATCTGTATGAAGAAAACTGCAAAACTCCAGTGAGTGAACCTAAAGAGTGGCAGTACTGCGGAGATGCCCCATGTCTGTCAACAGGAAGGCTCCACTGTCTAAGCTGTTAGTTCTTCCCACTAGGTCCAAGCACTCAATACGACCCAATGAAAATCCCATCAAGTTCTTCTGCGAGTTTCCGCAGATTCTGTATATATGGAGAAGGAAATGATGTGTAAGAGCCAACAAAGCACTGAGGACAAAGCTGGAAAACTAAGTTGCTTGACTTAAAATTCCTTTAACGCTACAGAACTCAAGATGTAATGTTGATCAAAGAAAAAGCAAACAAATTTATGGAGCAGACCCAGAAAAATATGACTGATCCTTCATAATGGTGGGAATAAATAATATATAATGAAATACTATAATAATAAAATGGACAAACAAAAGTAATTGGATATTTACATGGAAGAGGAGGAGGAATAGGAGGAGGAAGAAGAGGAAGAGGAGGAAAAGAGACATTAAGACACAGACTTTATATTCTTTCACAAGAATGAGCTTTTAGGATTACAGACCTAAAAGGAAAATAATGAAAGTATAAACCTTCTAGAAGATATCACAGAACAGCTAAATTACTTTGGGTTTGGTGACAGTTTTTAGATACAACACTAAAATCATGATCGTTAAAGAAATGTGTTAAGCTGGATTAGCTAAATTAAATACTAGAGCCTAGCATGTAAATTCATTCTTATAATCCCAGTACTTGAAGTCCAAGGCAGGAGAATCTTCAGTTTATGGCATGAACAACATAGTGAATGACACCTGTACTGAAAACAAAACAATACATACTCAAGTTAAAAAAAAAAGGCCAAAGGCTTTAACGGATAACTCATCAAAGAAACAACAGAGACTGAGTATCTGAACAAGTGCTCTATTTTAGATGCGACACAAATTACAACTGCCATGAAATGATGCCACAGTATCACTGGTGGCAAAATGTGGAGCAAGAGGAACCTATTCATTGCTGGTAGGAAGGCAAAATCACAGACTCTTTGGAAGACAAAACTAAGACAATCTCATCACACTACCCAGAAACTACCTAAGGAAGCTGAAAACTGATATCTATGCAAAGATACATACTTTAAACTATAGTCATAATTGCCAAAACTAAGAAGCAATTCAATTGTCCTGTAGTAGGCAACTAAGTAAAGTACATATAGAACACTGGGACTGGGTTTTTATTCAATGCTTTAAGAGCATCAAGCCATGAAAAGAAATGAAAAACAATTAATGTTCTTTACTAGGTGAAAAGAATCCAACCTGTAAAGGCTACCAGTGAAAATATTCTACTTCAGTGACTTTCCAGAAGAGGTATGCTATGCACAGAATGGCAGGATCACACCAAGAGAGAATCTCAACATAAACTATGGACTTTGGGTGATAATGACTTATCACTGGAGATTCTTCACTTATAACGAATGTGCCACTCTGCTGTGGGATGCTGACAATGGGGGGAGGATGTTGTGTCTTGTATATTTTTGATGTTTCACAGCTCCTACTTAGTATTCCTAGGAACCTAAAACTGGTATATAAGATAACATATATATTTAAAATATTATCATAAACACACTGCGAGCTGGGCAAAATAGCACATGACTTTAATCCTAGTGCTCCAGATGCAGAGGTAGTCAAATACCTATGAGGTGAAGGCCAGATTGATCTATATCCAAGTCCTAGGGCAGCCAGGGCCTCACAATGAGATCCTATCTTAATAACTCACTAGTTACCTAAGTAATCAATGATAAGAAAGTATGTATACTTATATAATCATGCAATGGTGAATCTAAGTAAGAACTATCTATTAAAATATAACAGATACAAAGAAAGTACCAATATAAATATATATTTATAAATATATATATTATATAAGAAAAATCATATATATATATATATATATATATATATATATATATATATATATGATTACATAAAAAATACTGTCTTTGCTCAGCAAAAAAAGATCGTACCCTGATCTGATAGAAAAACTAAGATGTCAAGGATATATAACACATATAAGACAAAGGCCTACTCCTGCATGCTGTTCTCTGACCTGCACACAATACTCTATCATAAATAAAAATGGAAAAATTCAGACTATCCAGCCATTATTGAAACTGAAGTTCCAACAAGAACCTCTCACATACTGTTACATGCCAAAGCAAAAGTATTTAGCAGTATAGTATATATGTTTGCTTCCATATTTGTACAGGTAGTGGAATAACACCAGGTTTAATTAAAGGAATGGCCAATTTAAGGAAGAAAAATGTCCAAACAATGTCAGCTACATGACTGTGTTTATGATACTTGTCTGGCCATTTCCCATTTGTAATGCAGAAAGCAATTGGTCTTGCAAAGAAAGCTGCTATGCCTTGAGAAAGAGCAACTCGTGTGCGTATACTCAGCGCTGCTCGCCAATACACTGCTCCAGCACAGAGCTTTAGGAAGCTCTAATGGCTAAGTGGAGAGACTTCATGGGACAGGTCTTCTCCCTAGGTTGCTACTATTTCTTTGTTCTTTCCCTGGGGTGGATATTGTCAATGCTTATATATAATCATTCCATGAAAAGGGTAAAATTCTAGAGTTATACTGATGGTACATAGTACACAGTCAATGAGACTCAAGATATTGTTTTAATTCTTTTCCATAAGTATTTTAGAAAACATCATTCTTAAAAAGTGTTGAGATCTCCTGCCAGCCTGAGGTTTAAGCTCATACTCTAGTTTCTACAAGTGAACACTTACAGTCCCTTTCTGCGGCAGTGCTGTCTTGTGCACACGAGGCTGTGTTCTGCTGCTAAGTAGCATCTGGAGCTCACAAGTGAACATGCAGGTACAAAGAGTAAGATCTCAGTTAACAAGTGTTCAGCAGAACTCTGATCTAAAACCTCATGTTCTCAAAACTAAAATAAGATCCAGTCTCTTCCCAAGGAAATCCTAAGTGTTAGACTGAACTCAGCAAACCATTTAAAGTATCTGGTATCTGGAAACTCTAAAAATGTTTCCTTGCATTTTGCTATCAGTTGCACACCAACTGTGAGCCCTGTGAACTGAATGATATAGCACAGATGTTCTTCAATTTGCGATAGGCTTGCAGCACATAAGCCAACCGTAACTTCAAAGTATCTAATGTAAAAATTCATGTCATAAACCTAGCCTATGGTGCACTGCAGTTTGCCCACACAGAATGCTCCACTGCACACAACTGGCTCTTTACAAGGTTCCCTGCAAACTGTGGCTTCCTGCGGCTGCCCTCCATCACAAGAGCATATCCCATCTGACTGCGTACTGCCAACCTAGGAAAAGAACACATTTAAACTATGGTCTCTGCTGAAAGTTTATCACTATGCACCAGTTTAATACAGAAAACTACAATTCAAACCTGTTAGATCAGGGATTATCTGGAATCCTGAGTATATACCCCTGCACACACTGACACCTTTCTCCTCTCAGATGCACTCCGTCCTTTCACCGTTCCGTCTACATTTCTCCTCTACAGCTCATAATTCCTACCATACAAGTTAGTTCATCTACATTACCCTCACTGGGATCTCTTACAGCATTATGATTATTAAATTAGTCTTTAAGACTAGGTTAAATTCAGAGAAGGAATGTTTGTGCAATTAGTATTTCCTATTCAAAAACCAGCCAATCTCAAAAGCAAGCAAACAAACAAAAAGCACAGATAAACTAACCCCACAAAAACATGTAAGTATAATTTCACTTTCAAATGGATTCTTAATTCCCAAATTACCATTTTTTCAACAATTTTATGTATCAACTGATAGAATTACTTGGTAATAAAAATACTACTTAGTACTACAAATACAAAGATAGGATTCAAAGAACACTAACAAAAACCTCAGCTGGCTGTTATACACAGACAAGTGATAATTCGTGATGGAGTTTCACATGGTTAGACTAACTCTCTCCTAAGACAATGTTACCAAACTATCATGGAGATAAAGTTCATGCTGAACACTAAACATAACAGCAACAAGACTGGCAATAAACATTCACAGAGTGTGAAATGCGTCCCAACTGCTGTTATAGGTGTGTCAGAAGAATCAATCCAGGTAATCCCTATGAAGCATCGAGAACATCAGCATTACATTTTAAAGATGTAGAAAAATGACTAAGGTTAGTTGACTTCTTGAGAGCACAAACACAGAAAAATTCAAATCTATGCAGTCTAGCCTTGAGACCAACTATTATTCTTTGCCAAAGCAGCAATATGTGCTATCTCTTATTGTCGTTAAAGATGAATTTGTACTACAAGAAAATAATTGTTTTCAATAAGTTAGCAAATGTAACTACTTCTTGCTAAAGTCAAATATACTATATTTCTTTAATATTTACATAATGTTCATTACAGAAAACTCTTGCAATATTTTTCATTTGAAAGTCCCCATGTAATAATGTATTTACCTGGCAAAAACTTCAAAGTTTGCAGCATCTGTCTTTCCTGAGTGAAATCCACCATTAAATGGGTCATGTTGTCACTGACTTTCGGTTTCAAAGAAAGGCGAAAGGCAGAAGCCATTGTGACTCTATGGTAAACACAGACATACTTTTTAAAATAAATGAATGCAAAGTAACAAATTTTATATAATTTATAAGATTAAGATAAAAATTATTTCACTAAGTGACTGTAGAGACTCTAATGCAGGCAGTTAAACAAATTTTCTCTGTCTTTTGGTAACTAAATCAAAAGCTAAAATTCCATCCAGTTTTCTAAAATTTCATAGATATCACAATAACCAATATCTAATATAAATAATCTATACAAGATCCCAATTCACCTGAAGCTCTGTGTCCACTCTCACTTCCTAGTACCTAGGCTTACTCATTTCCACCAAAGCATGAGCCTGTTTCAAGCCTTCTCCCAGGTACTGTTACAGCATGTCCTCTCAACAAAGGCAGACCTGGCATTACATACTGCAATCTTCTGAAGACCACAAACAACAAAGGAGAGAACTCAGATCCTTCACCGTGAGTGCCATACCATCAAGATGTTACTCCCGTCTCTCAGCATCGACTGCATGCAAAGATGCTTACGAGGAGAAACAGCCTAGTAGATCTGTGTGTCATAGAATTAAGAAGTGTTCAATAAACACTCAGATAAATGTGAAGTAAAATACAAAATAAAGATCTAACCAAATCAGATATTACTTTATCAGAAGAATGGGGGAAGTTCTTAGCAAAAAAACCTGAAAATTAAAAGAAACTCCTATGTTGCTGTAGAAAGGAAATCCACTTAATTGTGCCCGTTTGTAATTGCTTTCCCTCAGCTATCCAAATGAATGGTTTTCCCACACACAAGAGAAAATAAATGTATTTAAACAACTTGTTAATCATCAATTTCAATATTTTCACATCACAGTAAATGTCTATAAATATCACAGTCAGTTCTGTAACATTCTTGGAGAAAGAAAGATACAGATGTCTATTCATCAATGTTCTCTTCCTAGTACATGGTATGAGAGACAATATAAATAGAGCTACAGGAACAAAGGGAACACCAGGCCTAGCCAACTGGACCTGTTACCAAGAGGTCAACCAGATGGAAGATGGCAAACTTGCTGATGAAAAGCTATTGCTATATTTAGTTACTTTACTTCATTTTTTAAAAAATTGAAGTAATCACTGTAATACAACAATGAACAAGCAGAAATTACTTTAGCAAGAAGAAAGTGATATATTATAAATCAGCTCATGGGAAGGCAGCTTACATGTCTGAATGCTTTAGAAACCAAATACGCATTGCACATTCCAAATATACAGCACAAGCTGTTGGTTCTCAAGGACTAAGATCTTGGCTATACTGGTGAAGAGTCAGGACGAAGGCTCAGCTGTACACGTAGAGCCCTGAGTATTTTCTGACTTAGGAGTTCCTAAAGCACTCTACTGAGATGAGATAGTTCCAGATGCTCAACAGATGTGTTTCAGCCTCACTGGTTTCTTTAAAACTAATGAACTTATTGCTTGATGAGAAAAGCTGAGGATTTGAGAATTTTAAATCTGAAACCAGTAAAATCTACAAAAACTTGACATAATCAAAAAGGAACACACACAAAAAGAATGCTCCCCTCACAATGCAATAGAAATGCACTTTTTTTCCTCACTTACAATAGGAAAAAATAAGAATAATTTCTAGTCAAAGTAAAAACTTATATGAAGGTGGCAGGCAGAGGTGGCATACGCCTTTAATCCCAGCACTTAGGAGGTAGAGGCAAGCAGATGTCTGAGTTTGAGGACAGCATGGTCTACAGAGCTATTTCCAAAACAGCTAGGGCTACACAGAGAAACCCTGTCTCAGAAAAAAAAAAATCAAACAAAAAAAGTACATGAATCTATTCATATGTATGACAATATTTTCAAAAAACTTAAATTTATTTTTAAACTGACTATATTTACCCTGACTAAAAATTATTAAAAATCCATAATATATTGATTACAAGTCAGCCTTAAAGCCCAAACTAAAAATCCAAAATTGATAAGACGGTCTCAAACCATGCTATTTGTTGTGTTTTTATTAATTTGATTTTCCCAGATTATCTCTTATATTAGCAGTTGAATTAAAAGACTCTTTCCTCCCAGTGTTATCATGGTCACCAGAAAATAATTACAAAACAGATGAGCATATTTAATCAAGTTAAAAAATAGGCTAAGACCTAGAAATACTCTTCAGACAAGGAGCAAATGCTCTGGTAGCCAAATGAACAAAGAGAACAGTGTAAGCTTTAAACCAAACAAAGAAGAAACACGGACTCTGACTCCGGGATACTGATGGAATCACATGGAGAGGCTGGCCAAGGAGGAGAGAAGCTGTAAAAGCTGGCATTAAAATTAAATTCTGACAGACAAACCTGAACAGAGGGGATCAGAAGAAAGATGAGAGCTGAGAAAGCACAGAAACAGAACCTTGAAACGAAGAGGAGATAGTTCTTAAGTTTCTTTTCAGACAGCCCAAAACCTAGTTAGGATTTGATTTCTTGGCCAGAAAGCTCAGGAAGCACAGTGAAGTGTAAAGGAGTAGCTAGTAAGGAGTAATAATCTAGCCTGGGTAAGAGAGAGTTGTTTCTGGAAAATCTCAGCAAGCAAATCTACTTTGTCAAAGACTTTCCTCTTACCCACCACTCCTCACATAGTAATTCATTCACTGAGGACAGCAGGGAGTACTACAGTCCTCAAAACTTGAGACTTGAGGCAGGAAGAACTCTGGACTCAAGGCCAGCCTAGGAAACAGGGTGAGAATCCATCTCTTAAAACAAAAAAAAAAAACTCAAAAAAACAAAACAAAACAAAACAAAACAAACCAGCCAAAACAACAGAACTCTAGTGACCTTCTGATATTCAGCACTTTCAAGAATGAACCACAACACTAATCACGTCATAATATAAAATCTGCAAAAAAGGACAATAGTTTTGCTTTGACTCTGTGTAAATTTGCTCCATACCACCCCCTATCCTCCCACCATCAAACAACCAGTAAAAAAAATACAGTAAAAAAAATTCTCTAAATTAACAACAGACACTGGTTTTCACACAATCCATAATGAGTATTTCTGTGAGTTTCCTCATAAAGAATGAACTGATCTAGACTTGAAGAGACTCAAAAGTTGTGCCTGTCAGAGAATCTCATGATCCTGAGATTAAAAAGCCTTAAGTTATAAACTATAGACAAGGCTCAGTGAGTAGTAAGCAAGTCAGTGAACACAATCCAAGTGTTACCTCAGCCCCTTTAACACACACATTTGTTGTTCCAGCAAGGGCTAACTGCCCTTTTATGTTCCTGACTGCCAATGAGAAACACCTTTTTAAGCCAAACTACTTAACGATTTCCTTAAGTGCTTTCCTCAGTATAAAAACAAGATAGTAGAGGCAGGAGAAGAAGAAAGAGGTGGCACCAGAACAGCACAGGAGAACTCAAGGTGTTAACCAGGACAGCAGTGAATAGCTTCATCAACTGAAGACACCAGGCAGCACTCTGAAAACAAGATCCACTTAGACTTAAGAACAGCAGCAAACACTGCATCTTAGCAGGATGCATTTTTAAGTCATTCAAAATAGATCGATATTCAATACTAAACTAATTAAGAACTATTCTAAAAACTAAAACTAACTATTGTATTAAACCAGAAATGAAATTCTTTTAGAAATATGCAATTTCCACAACTTAAAATGTGACTTTAAAAAGTTTACCAGTTATTCTATGATATACAGAGCACATTTTCTTTACTTTGTACATAGTTATCATGTTTTGTTATGTTAATCAACAGAATTCTAAGAAAAGTGGCTTCTGAATTTCATTTCTGACTTCAATATTGACAAATAAAAAAAATATAGGTTTTATACCATACCTATCCTTGATCTGTCTGGCAGCCTTGGAGCAAATCAGGAAGAAGAGAAAGAAGGTAGTTAGTGCTTTTCATGCAAGTTCAATGGCAGCGACATGCAAGAAAAGTTAGGATATAAACCCTGCAATAGATTAGTTCATATTCATCAAAAACATAAATTACAAGAAATTTATATAGTTCATGTAAGCCTGATAATGTCAGAACCACAGTAGAATCCAGACCCCTATATCAATCACTGCAAAAGTAGGAAAATTTAATGTTCCAACTAGCTTCATGGAACAATAATTGTGGTTTTTGAACATAGGATTATCAAATACGCCTACACTTTTATCAGTCTGATACATTCTTCAACTAAATTTCCTTACAGCCCAACAGCTCTTCTGCATATGAAAGTTTCCTTGCTAGCATACAAAACTAGACTGCAACGCTAGAAGCCTTCACTCCCAAGAATGAGTTCTAATAGTAGAGATGCAGAGAAGGACGGATGAGAGAACATCTCTTAAAAGGAAGGTTCAGAAAAGCTATAAACTTACACATATCGTACATATCTTCTGCTTTTGGTTTTAGAAAATGAAAATACAAGTTTAGAAACGGTTCATGGTCATTACCTGATACTATAGAGTCACAGAACAACAATGAAAACACACAAAGCTGTTGTCTCTATATATGAATTAAGTGTAATATATACAACGAAAGACTTTCTTCCATGCTAAGAAGCACAGTTAACAATTACAGCTGACAAAGATAGCTGCTTTGCGAGCATTCAGCCTGCTAACAGTAATGCTTAACTGAGTTCAGTTGAATGTAAATTCTGTTTCTTCTTTCAATCCTAGCATCGTTTCTACTTGCTACAGGCCATTTTTATACCCTCAAACTAGTTAGGCCTGAGCATCTTCTAAATTAAAGAACTAAGACTTGAAATAGATTGTAACATGCTCCAGCTCCAGCATTACAAGTGATTAAGGCTTTGACCTTGGATATTAATTATTTTACTTCTCTACTAAGGGATTTGGGTTCTTAATGCTTTTAAGAACAAAAAAGCCCTTTTCAAGGTCCACATACTACAGCCAATCCAATGTGGTGGCTTTCTGATCTCCTTAGGTCATGAACCTAGTTTGGCACAGTCCCTTTTATAAGGAATGTTACATTACCCAACTATTACACGAGTTTTGAAAGTTACTGCCATGGCAGCTGGAACTGAAATAATTTTCATATAGACGTGAAATTCAGAAAGGAAAAGGACTCTCCTCTGTACCCAACACTTCTTTACATACAGAGGAAGCTGCTGTTATTACCCCTTCACTTCTTTCTTCCTTCACTTAAAAAAGAATATCAGATTATGAGTTTTAAAGGCATTAACTCAGTGCCTCTTACTTTTCTCAGAAGTTTGCTTGTCTACAGAGAATATGTATTACGTTCTTCTTTCTCTGTGCTGTTAGGTGTCACTGAAACAGCCTTCCCTAACCCTAGTGATCTGAAACCTCTGCTGAGCACACCTGGGTAGGTAAATTAATTCCAGGCTTAGGCAGTTTGCCTACCGACTCTCTCTACCCAAACTCTCTAGTACACAGCAGGACTCCAGATCTCCTCAGCTTTCCTGCTTTATCTTATTTCCTGATGGCTCTGAACTGCCAGTTTCCCTCACATGACCCATCTATAGGAACATCACTACTGACTGAGCATCGATGCATCATGTCACCTACCATACTGTGTGTGAAGACAACAGAAAAGGAACAAATGAGAAAGCAAACAGCCTACGAGAAACTGCTGTCCTGTGTGTTCACAGACAGTACACATTGAACATTCTGTCGTCTGATTTAGGTTCACATTTATTTTACATGCACCTATAGATGTAGAAGATGAGAAATTATCCTCTACAAGAATCTAGAATGGTCCAACTTTAAGAAGTATCTTTAAGTAGAGAATAAATTATATTTTTCTAGAAATTCTTCTTCCAAAGATAGTCATCTAAAAAGTATACTTTACTATATACTTCCATTCCTCTGCTTTAATTACAAGAGTGATAATTTTAAATTTTTGTATCTCTGAAATGCAAAGCCTAGAATTTTCCAGGATTCTGCTCTATCATATTTACCTGAATCTGTATGACTCCACTCGGCCAACCAAGAGGACACCGGGTGAGTGCCTGGCTTCCTCTGGTGTTACTGTGCAGTGCAGCACTGGAAAGCCTCCAGAAAGCATCATTATTTCTATTGTCTAATCCCATCTGCCAACACTTCACCTCTGTGTTTGGATTGGAGATGCCCTTTCCTTCCTCTAATGTGTCTCATTCTCTCTTCCCTTTATCTGTTAACTTTCTTGTTTTGTTTTCTGAGTTTCATACTATAGTACAGACTGGCCTCAAACTCACAGCAATCCTCCTGCTTCAGCTTCTCAAGTACTGGGACAACATGCCCGAGCTAGTACACGTAGCCTCTGATTTTTAAATTAATAATCACAATCCTTTATATATCAGATTTAGGAACTTGTCACCCTAGGCCAAAGTTACTTAAGTAGAACTACAAGGGTAGAGGAGTAATTACAAATAATTATTCATAATTAACATAAACAAAACTGGATCTTTGCCTAACCTATTTTTAATCTGCAATGAAAAGGTACAGAAATTGTTGTAAACGTATCCAGCATTTTGACTACCTTATGGCTTCTATATACTTTAAAAACCCAGGGGCTGCGGGTGTGGCTCAGTTAGTAAAGTACTTGCCGAGCATGCATACTGCCCTAAGTAAGCTCCAACAGCTTAAACTGAACATGATGGTGTGTGCCTGGAATCCCAGCCCTCGGGCAGCAGAGTCAGGAGGATTGCAAGTTCAAGGCCATCTTCAGCTATGGAATAAATTAAAGATACTTTGGTATGCACACAAAACCCTGTCTCAGAACAGGCAAATATAAACAACAATAAGACTAGACTGTCTTCATAAGAATTTACAGAATAGTTCTTTTGATGGCTAGGATCATTGTTTGGCTCTTTGGCCGTACTCAGAAACATCACTGTAATGGTAGATTTCCTGACTGCTTTGTGGTTGTCAATATGGAACCACTGTCAAACCACTAAGATTACATTTACACATTCATTTTCAGGACTGTAGGTAACCTGGGATAATTTTCTCAAATAATCTTACTTCCTGAGCCACAAGGCCCATGTCAAACTCACTTTAATGGCAGTGCCTTTGCTAACTACAGCAGAGTTGTCAGTGTTGGGAAGAAGTGATGCTTTCTCACAGCAAACATTGAAAAACAAAGGGCGGTTCTCAGCTCAGTGCTGATGTGGCCTTTACAGTAGCCCAGCCTTGTCCATGAATGCGTTTCCTCGTGCCAGTTCAAATAACTTTTAATCCTTCTGCTTCTCTCTGAGCATGGACTGTGGGCACATGGGCTTCCTCGTCTCACCTTCTCTTCATCAGTTTCTCATCTGTCCATCAGAGGAGGGCCCTGCTCCCTGCAGAGGCTTCCAGCCTTTCCTTTGTTGCTCCACTTTCCACATATTGTGGTAGTCGACTTCATTTGTATTTTCCAGCCTGGCTGCTCTGGTCAGATCAATCTTTATCTTTTCTTCTTGGGGCTTCTTTTTCTTATATAAATCCAAAAGATAATCCATACCTTTTATGGTATATTTCAAAATACTCATTTTGTGGCATGTAGCATCATCATAGGCCACAAGACATAGACTCCAGGATGTGAAGCTCCTAATGCTTGAATCTCAGGGACCTACTATCTCTGACAAAGACATTTCTTCCTAATATCCCACCCCCTTACAGGATGAAAAAATGAAAAAAAGGGGGGTATCTCAAAATGTTATTTTTCCTTTAGGTAAAAATACTAACCTTGCCATGTAAGAAAGCAGAGGCAGGAGAATTTCTGTGATCTTTAGGCCATCTTGGTCTACATAGCCAAGTCCCAGGCCAGTCTGAGCTACAGAGGAAAATCTTGCCCCACCCTTTTTTTAAGACCTTTGGAAAAGAACTAGTTACATATTCTCTCTCTCTCTCTCTCTCTCTCTCTCTCTCTCCCTCTCTCTCTCTCTCCATATATATATATGCATATATCTGTGTATGTGTATATATACATATCCATATATATGTTTGTGTATTTAATCTTTTTTATAAAAGTAGTATTTTTCAAAACATATGATCAGGGCTGGAAGAGATGGCTCAGTGGTAAATAAAGACTTGCTGTTTCTTCAGAGGACCTGGGTTGAGGTGCCAGCACCCACAAGTGTTTTACAACCCCTGTAACTCCAGTCCAGACATCTGATGCTCTCTTCTAGCCTCTGAGGGTACAGGACATGTACACATACATATATGCAAGCAAAACCTTCATACGCTTAAAATAAACACATGCTCACCTAAAAGTAAATAGTCTGAAACTAAGTACAGTACTCCTTACAACTTTAAAGCCAGGCACATTAGTACAGCAGGAGACTACATTTCTCTAAGACACCAACACTTACAAATAAAAGGCCTACTTTAAGGTATGTTTAATAAGTACTTCACTCATTTGTAGTTGTGGTCAAAGGTAAAGCCTGCTTCTGTTAAAGTCCCTCTCTTTCCCAGGCATTCCTGACCAGCCTAAAGAAGGACCTTCTCCCAGCCTTGGTCTGCAGGTTACTGACTGAGCTCCCTGTCTCATCTGCTCTTCTCAATGCTCAAGAGACTGACATACCCTGAGCAGTACTCCATGGGAAAGCTACTGTGAGTGAGAAAAAGGAAATAAGCCCCATTTTCTTTTTTCATCTGTGATCAAATGCAGAAGACATTGTTCCCCTTTCACAGTATCCTGGAGCTATTATTCCATTGTGGGCACTCAAGGGTAAGAAATCACTCTTTCCCTTTTAATCTGACAACTGGTCCAAGACTTGTAATTGTTCTGGCCAGTTCTTTTCATTGGAAGAGTTTAAGGTTTGAATTCAGGGTAAGAAGAGGAATTTTAATTTTGACAGAGGAAACAAGCACTGCTCTGCAGGCTAAGTACTAGTAATGGAGAAACCAGAGTTGGTGGAATTCTGGCTATTTACCTAATGATTTCACACACCTGATATTTACCTGAATAATTTACCTTCATATCTCATCTGAACTTTTCACATATATTTACTATCAACCAAACTTCTAATATTCAAAAAATAAGGTGAAGTACATTCTAGAATCCTACCACATCTGTGCTGTTTTTACTGTTCACTATCATCAGATCACATGATGCTGATAAGTGGAGCCCTTCAAATCCAGATCTCAGGCTAGGAATAGGAACAAGACAATTTAAAATAGTAGAACTTGAGGATAAAGAAGTATAAAGAGAATCACTGTATGGTTTTACCAAAGGCTATTTTTTGTTGTTTCCAATTATATTAGCCCAACTTAAGGAGTTTAATATGGTATGTTTAAAAATAGTATGACTAAAAGAATTGTTTTCCACAGCTTTATAAAAATTCACCACTATCTACTAATTGTACTTCAAAGTTATCCACACTATTTTGTCAGTAACTAAGCATCTCAAGTAGGCCTATAGAAACTTATGCCCTGGCTCAAGTACTGAAGAGCGGCTAAAACAAACTGCCTATAAGCATATGAAAATGTGGCTTATTTAAATTGAACATTAAAGAAAAACAGAACTAAAATAATCAATTCCTGACCCCAAAGATACATACTACAAAAGTAGATGCTTTGAAATAAGTGAACATCTTGTATTTATTTTATTTAGCAAAACTCCAAGCCCTTTTCAGCATCAAAAATGACAAAATACTTTTAAAAATACGCCTCAGTATACTAGGATAGGGTTTTCTATTTGTCTGTCTGTTTACTTGGTTTTTGTTTTGTTTACCTTTGAAAATTCTTCAGGTTCCTTAATATCTAATGACCTTGTTGCAAATTCTAGTAGTTCTTCAGAGTTCTCCAGGGCATTGTTACATTGACTAAGCTGACTCTAGAGGAAAAAGCACAATACCCAGGTCATCATAACGTACTTTGCAATCTTATTTAAGCCAATCTTAAATATATGCTATAATAAATTTAAAGAGATGGGACTAATTGGATAAATATGCATTCATGGAGCTACTGAAAAAAGATAATTACCATTAGTCATATACATGACAAAACTGCCTCTTCTATAATTTATTATACACAGCTTAACCAGGGCTCGAGAGACGGCCGGGTGGATGGTAGCATTTGTGGTCCAAGTGTGACGATACGAGTTTGTCCCACAGTGGAC